CACTAATGCTTCATTATTATGAAAATGGAATGATATGTCTAATACTATATAATACTGTATTTAATACCATCACACCAAAGTATGTATTTCCAATCCAAGCTGCTTACCGATGACTATAGAATTATGGTCCTGGTAGTTGCAATGAAAAGCAACAAAAATTAAGAAAACAGTACTAATAATGGGTGACAATACTTCATGTAATAAACAGAAAAAAAAAAAGAAAATCAAGACAATATTACTATTACTTCAAGTATGCATAAAAACAACAAATATTGAACCAAGGAATCAAGAAGAAAAAAAACAAACAAAAAAACACAAACACACAAAGGATAAACTAAGATTTGATTTTCTGCCACTCAGAATATTCTTGTAGATCAATTTGTAGAGCAGCTTATATAGTTAACCAAATTTCCTAAGGCTAAAAGATGTAAATTTATATCTTGCTAGAGTGTTCTTTATTTCCAATCTGCAAGGTTTACTGACAAATAATGGTCAGAGAGTTTTGATGAAAAACAACTAAAATTAAAATGAAAGAAATAATAGTAAAAAGTTAGTAATAAATATTTAAAACTTAATTGTTTACTTTCACCTAGAACATTAGTCACAAGGTTAGTGTGTTGTCAGAGTTCATGATGAAATCAATGTTCAGTTGTGGAGTGAGTATATCAATTAGTAATTAGAGGAGTCAGAGAAAAATCTCCAAAAATTGTATCTGCGGCTTTACACACACAAACATCTGGTTATTTAAAAATACAATAATACTATATCTTTAAATCAGCATATCTATTTTCTTTTTAATCAATTCCCCTCAAGCAAGGCGATAATGCCACAAAGACACAAGCAGCTACTGAGAGTGAAAGTGAATGAAAAGACTTTAGAAGGAACTAGAAATCCAATCCTAAACAGAAAGCAATGGACAAACTTCTACTTCTGTTCAAAAGACTGGAGAGGATTGTGAGCTGGACAATAGGCAAACCAATCTACTCATACTCCTTTATATAAGGAACTGCATGAAGTAATGAACCATTTCAAGTGGGTCACAAATTTTCTCAGGTTTAATGTCTTAATTATTCTGATCCTAAAATATACATTTGGGATCTTGTCACTACATAGATGATGAATCATACAAACTTATTTTTGTGATGTTGGACGGCTTTGCTTATCACTTTTGCTATGTCAAGTGAAAACTCATATTCGAGACTTCATAGACACCAGTACTAGTAGTAACACCTTCCAATAATATCCGCACTAGTAATACTCGTTCAAGTAGCAATTGCCAAATAGTATAATGATCCACATGACTTAGCTTCTAGGATGGGACAAATTCTATCTTGCATTTATAATTTAATAGGATTGTTCCCAGCACTGCATCCTATTTGTTGTATGTGTAAGAACACCTTTAAATCCATATATAGATAACAACGGTCCATGGTCTGTTTAAATAATAAATTCCCATTCATGTAAGAACTTGTGAAATTTCTTCATGGCAAATGCAATGCATCTTTCTCTATCCATAACTAACTTTTTTCAGTCGCAATTAACAACCTTGAAGCATGTGCTATTGGCTTTGTTGATCCATAGTCATAATTATGTAAAATCACTGCTCCAATCCCCAAGTCACTTGCATCAGATGCAATGACAATTTTCAGGTTATGGTTGAAATGAGTCAGTGATAACTGATGTAAATACTTTCTTAATCTGCTCAAACGCACTTTGACATTTTTCTGTCCAGTTCCACTTGACATCCTTCTTCAGTAGAATATTTAATGGTGCTCTCAACTCGTGCATATTAGGTATGTATGTATGATAATAGTTTGCAAAGCCTAAGAATGCTTGTAGTTTTGTAATATTAGTTGGCACGAGCATATCTTATCGTGCTTGCTCTTGCAGGATCCGGTCGCCTATTGGTCTCAACAATTATCTGCCCTAGATATTTGAGTCTGGACATGAATAACTCACACATAAACTTTCATTCTTTCAAAGACTTTCTTTAAATCTTTAAATCTTCAGCATGTTCTTTTTGGGTTTTGCTTTTTACAAATATGTCATACAAATATGCTTGAGCACAATCCAACCCAGCCAGCATTATTTGTTGGAATATAGCTGGTGCAACCTTTACACCAAAAGGAAGATGATTGAATTTATATAACCCTCTATGGGTGTTATTAGTTAGTCATTTTGAACAGTCTTCATCCACAAGTATTTGTAAGTATGCATTTGAGAGGTCCAACTTTGAGAAAAATGTACCTCCATTGAGTTTTGTCAAAATTTCTTCTAGACTAGGTAATGGATAATTATGCCATTTCAAACTTTTGTTTAGTCCTGTTGAAAAATCAGCACACACTTGTATCTTGTTATTTTGCATCTTAATATAGACTCTCTGTGCTGCCCATTTGGAATTGTCTATTCTTGATATTACTCCCAATTTCTCCAGCCCGTCCAATGCATTGTTGATTAGATCTACAGCTGCAAATGGCACGCTTTTTGGTTTAAATGTAGGCGGTACCTCACCTTTCAACTGAAACTTGGCTTTTACTTTCATGTATGTACCAAGAACTTCAGAAAACACTTTTGAAAAAGTCTTTTTCGGTTCGCTTTTTTGTTTTTCATTTGCTGTATTAGAACTGGCAACAATATTTGTTATTACAAAACAAGTTAATAGGTAAGTCCCACAGATCAAACAATGCCATCCAATCTGTACCAAACAGATTAGGTATATTTTCCAAAACAAATACTACCGTTTTTCTGGTCTTCCCAACTAATGAAACATTACAACTGAATTTGCCTAAAAAGTTTAATCTTTTCCCTGAGTCTCCATAAGCAATTTTCTCAGAAGTTAATAACCTGGGTTTACCCATTTTCTTTCAAGTCAGCTTGTTAATAATAGTAATATTCGATCCTGGGTATAATTGTAACTTAATTTTCACACCATTTATGTGCATGAAAATATATTTCCTCTTTTGCGAAGTGTAATTAATTTTCCTTTTGGCTTTCTTATTACTGCATGTATTAATTCTGTTCACATGCATTTTATTTCTTCTCCATTTTTTTTTTTTTTTGATCTGCAACATGCACTCTTGTGTCCTAATTTCCCCACACTCAAAGCATTTCTTGTTTCTGAAGAAACAATCCTTTTTAAAATGCTTACCACCACAACCGTGGCAAATATTAGGTATTGAGCAGGTTTTATAGTCTTCCTTTATAGTTTTATCAGAAGCTGGAGAACATTTGTAACTTTTCCTCTTAGTTGGTTGGACACTGAACCTGTGAATTTTCTTTTTCTTCAATCCTCATAGTATCAAGCTTTAAATTCATAATGCGTCGACCCTCTTCAGTTATTCTCTGGAGATTTAATTTTGGATCCATTTCCGGTTTAGAAAGTATCTTAGATCTAATTTCTGTGTTCTTGTTAGATGTTAAAACCCTGAACAAATACCAAGCATTTAAACAAATCAGGAGTTTAGTTCATTCAATTTAAACTTTTCGCATTCCTGATTTACAAGTCCTGCATACGTGACAAAATCTTCATCTGATTGCACTAAATTGAGACATTACCAACGTATATTAAACAGCAAACTTCTGTCTCCAAATATTTTCGATAGTGTTAGGACAGTCTCATCTGGCTTCTTTGGCAAAATATAGTTTATATATTTTTCATGTTAAGCAGGGGATAAATTCCTTCATATCTTCTATAGTACAATGGAAAAGTTATTCCTTCAGCCACATTGCACACAAACTTGGTGATTGGAATTAGTGACAGCATCAGGAATAAATGAATCTGAAGTTTTTGTTTCCATTGTTTTACTGAACAACTCCAAAAACTTTTGTTGCTGTAATTGTAATTGAAACTGCTGTTCATGGTACTATTTCTGTTGCTGTAATTGTAGTTCCTGCTTAGTTTCTGTTGTTGCAGCATTTGAAACATAAGGGCCTTTAATTCTTCCATTTTTCTGTTGAACTCTGAACTTTTTTGCAGATTAAGTTTTTCCAGCTGTGTAAGTTCAAGGAATCCTTATGAATCCTTGCAAATCCTCGTTGCCACTTTTGTGATGTTGTATGGCTTTGATTGTCACTTTTGCTATGTCAAGCAAAAGCTCGTTATCAAATACTCATTATATTCGAGACTTTGTAGATGCCAGTACTAGTAGTAACGCCTTCCAATAATATCTGCACTAGTAATATTTGTTCAAGTAGTAATTGCCAAATAGTATAATGATCAGAGAGAATTGTAATCTGTATAGTAGCAGAGTAGAGAGAGTGAATGTATAGCAATAGTAGATAGACAAGAAGAGTGAACAGTGATCCTTACGCTACTTCGTATTTATTCACTTCCTTTATGATCACATGATCTACTTAATAATGAAATCACTGTGTTACTCATTAGTGATCTAGTTTCAAACTACAGTGTTGGCAATGACACTTATACAACACTTATTGTGAAATGTTTTGCAAATAAAACATTCAATGGTTCAATTTTCTTTTATCGCAAAATAAAAGTAGGTAGCAAAAGATGCCTTTGAAAGACTAGGCAAAGTATTAAGAAACAGGAAAATTTTGTGAGAAACAAAGAAAAGACTGAAATATCAATCCTCCTCTACAGTAGTGAATGTTGAACAATCTCTCCAAAGAGGAAGAAGAGAATCCGTCTGTAAAACGATAAGGTGAGTAATGAGGAAGGGAAAATGGAAACAAAAAAAGATGCTTATAATTAGAATCAGAGGGGTTTTGATCAATTTGTTTTTTTGACTTAACTTTTTGTAGGTTATTTAAAAGTTAGAAATTATTTCTAGGTTGTAAGAATATTTGAGATAATAATGATTTATTGATACAAGTCCTACTAATTAATCTATAGCCAGGAGGAAGGGAGAAGAAGCAGATTCATACCTTTTCCAAGGGTATTTGCATGTAAGTGAATACAATGAACCTGACTGGAATTGGAACTTAGCTCTCTTATTTCCAATTCTAAGCTATTATTCATTACTCCATCCATATATCTAAGTTTACAGCACCTGTTATTCCCAAGCAGTCACCCATCTAGGTACTAACCAAGCCTGATATTGCTTAACTTTGGTGATTGTACAAGAACTGGTGTTTCAATGTGATATGGCCATAAGATTAGAAGCAAAGATTTAAAATTTCTAGGACATAATGAAGAAAGAGGGTGAATCTGATACTCACAGGACATAATGAAGGCAAGAGAGAGAGGAAGCAGTAAGTAACAAACTTGTTTAAATGGTTGGCAGACCAGTGATGAGTAAAGATAATGAAAAGACATACCTTACTAAGAGCTACAAAGGATAGGAAGTTGTGGAGAGCCATTATCGCACATAAAAGAATGAGTCTTAGTTTTATCACAATTTTAAGATAGTATTATAAAATAGGCAAAAATCTCTATTGCATGTTAAAACATTTTGAACAGTATATTTGGTTTTCTTTAGAAATGTTACATCTGCCAGTCTTTAAAAGTCATTTAGGACATTTTTTTTTTCTTTATTTTCTCAACAAGAAAGCCAAGTCCAACAGATTCACAGAAGTGATTGTTAAGGCATCCTATAAAGGTTAGATTAAGTAAGCTTGGGAGAGTTTTATACAACTGAGGAAGGTCAAAGAATATATCAAAAAACAAGATGAAATCAAAAGTCTATAAAAATATTTGGAATAATAAAAAACTTCATTTGAGAAATTCAGAAAAGATTTTATTTCAGAGTTTTGACAGAAAAGGTATGTTGATACTTTTCAGATGCAACAATTGATGGCAGGCCACAAGAGAAATAAAGCAATAATTATTATCACCTGAAGAAATGAATGCATAAATACAAAGACTCAAGATAAACATAAACTGTGATGTTGATTGGATTTTTATTAGATCAATATTTTCAAAGTTTTAGGCAAGTTAACTCGCAACTTTATCAACAAGAGACAATATTAAAATGCAGAAAAGAATTGGTGATATTTTACACTTTTCTCTAAGAACAGCAGAAAAAAAGTAAAACTTAAAATTAATGTAATGTATGAATATTACAGAAAAAAAATGGCAATATTTATTTGTTACTAGTCTACTTATGCAGTAAAAAAAAAAAAAAAAAAAATGAAAGCAATATCTAAGTAATTTTCCAGTTGCATTGATACTTACAAAATATTAAAAAGTTTTATTTTATTGTATTTTCTGTGTTATGTTCAATATTTCCTGAACATTAGACTAAACAAATAACATTCTATTAATCATTGAATAATTTTGCTGTTTTAGTGATCTTTAATTAGCAACCATTTTAGCCATATAAGTTTACCTGTTAAGATTTTATTTTTCAGAAATTTTCATGTATACATTATTTTTGCATCAAATACATAAAGGGCCTGAAATCTTAAAAGCCATAATTCAATCATTTTCATTTAAAAGCTAGTCATGTGTTATGGAGTGGTTTCACAGTGGAGGCTTGTATTTGTACTAAGTCGGTCCTAAAATAGGTTTGATGTACAAAACGTTAGGAACTTCATATAATAAGTATAACGCAGTAATCTAGTTGTGGTCGATGATACATTTAGTATCCGACTAACGGTCATCCGACATCGACTGACTAAGCGACACACTGAGCGACCCCCTCAGCGACTTCTACTACTCCTACTTATTATAGGTGGGAGAGTCTATTAACTATAGAATAGGTGTGTTCCACTATAACATCATGAAAGGAAAATTAGATCTAACCAAATAAAATTAAAATGAGTATGGTCTAATTGTTAGTATTCCAAATGTGACAAAGGTGATCCACTCAGGTGGACAGAGTAAAGCTTTAAATAGGAGGTTTGACAGTGGTCAACAGAGTTATATGGAGAAAAACTGTTTAATGATACAGAACTCGAGAAAAATGTGAGAAAAGGCTTGCTTACATTTCATGATTACTGGAAATAAATGTGGAAAAAGAAATAAGAAATTTTATTAATTTCAAGAAATTGGATGGATTGAGAAGGTTGAAACTGAATCTTAATTTGGCAGTAACCAAATACAACCCTGCACATAACTCTCCTACTGTACTAACAGAGTTGTATAAAAATGATAAAAATAAATTACTTCCTTGGCTGAAATAAAAAAAATTCTCTCTAAAAACACTTGAGATTAAGATGTTTACATAAAGACCTAGTCATCAAACTGATGTGGTTTCTTAGGCAGAATAATTTCAGTGGAAAAGCTTTCTGGAAAACTCAGCCAAAGCCAAGGTCATGCAGTTTATTTATAACTGCCAGTGGACTTCTAGAAAGAATAACTTTGGGGAAATAGGTTATCAGAACTCTGTCAAGTGGCTGCTTTCTAGAAAAATGATCCTTAAAATATGTAAACTAATGGTCAAATAATACCAATATATTTTGCTGACAAGATGATAGGCTGGATTATATAGAGTTGGGATAAAATAAGGATTGGAATCCTATAGGATGAGAAGATAAAGAAAAATAGGAAATGCTTATCAATCTAAATAGACACACACAATTGTGAATATACATTATCACCTGATGCCCACATAGGCAAACTAGAATTTTTATACATATAGCAATAGTTACAGTTTTTCAGGTAGGCTTGGAATCCATTAATTTCTTGAAACTTTGGATGGACATGTAATATATATATATATATATATATATATATATATATATAGATAGAGAGAGAGAGAGAGAGAGGTGTGTGTGTGTGTGTTTTAAAGTAAACAAATAGGAAATGTTTATCAATCTAACACGTTTTACTTTGATTAAAGTTTTTTCAGAGACTGAGATATGGAGGAAAAGAAAGAAATTCTGTTATTTCTACTTTAATGTTGTCTGATTTTCATTAGACAATCATGTATCACATGCATTCAATTCTCTTAAACCAACATTAGTATAATTTTTGGTGTTCCAAATTCAAGGAGAGATGATATCTCCATCCAAAGTTTCAAGAAATTAGTGGATTCCAAGCCTAACTGAAAAACTGTAAATATTGCTATATGTAAGCATATAAAAATTCTAGTTTGTCTATGTGGGCATCAGGTGATAATGTATATTCGCAATTGTATGTGTCTCTTTAGATCGATAAACATTTCCTATTCGTTTTTATTTTAACACACACAAGTTACGAAAAACTTGGTAATCCGTATGGGTAGTCCCAAGGAGGATGAAATCCTGAGAGCTCAATGTAAATTCAGAGCTAATAATTTAAAGAAAAACAGACCACTTTAAGGCTCCATTGTAATAGTTTATTTCACCAGAGACCTTTTAAAGGACGCTGGATCATCAGACATCACTTCCAAAAGGTGAAACGAAAAATGAAATGAAAATTTACACTTTTGACGGGTAGTATTAAGTTTATGTAATTTAACAATATATTGGAGGGAGTGTGCACACCTAAGACAATAAGGGAGCTCTACTGAGTTTGCTTGAGAGAAGAGACATAAGATAAATGTGAGAGAGGCATGGGATGAGTAGATCATAACAGCTATTATAAGAACAAATCACAAAGTTATCGCTCAACTTATGAACACACAACTTATTCATTATATTTGTGAACATGGGATTCAAAGTTCAGATGACTATATACTATAGTTAAGCATTAAAATCAAGACAGGGATGACAGTAATTTGAATCATTTATCTAACAACTAAAATTAAATATATAAATTTTTTTAATATACTATGGTATTACTGTCTTCTACATAATTTTTTGGAATCAACTTTAATATTGTTGAACACATAGCTGGCTCAGGTTTGTGACATTTCAACCCTGAGCTTGACCGGAGGAGTTTCCTATACAGGATCTCATTGGTCCAATGACTGAGACAACAGGCTGACACACCTGATCATTAATACTATATCTTCACCAGAAATGAAAAACAAGGAGGTAAATACACCAAAGAACACACACATTAGGGTATAGCATCACATCTGGTACCATGTTGAAGTGTTTTTGATTCTGAGGTTATAACAGAAAGACATACAGAGTGTAGTGCTACATTTAGTACCCAGAACACCAGGCTTGTTTTCAGCAAAGTGTTCACAAAATCTTTGAATAAAGTGAAATCAGTTTTCAGAAGCAATGAAATTAGTAACATTCAAACTTCAGTGCAAATCCAATCCTAAGTCAAAGTTTCATTGAGACTCAAATTACAGTCAATAAACAAGAATAAATAACAATTGCTTAATGACAACAATTTGAAAGAGAGAAAAGAATTGGACAGATACAGTCTTTTAATTTTTTATAAAAAGCAAGCATGTATACTCATAGAATCAAACATTTACAAGACATTTATTGAAGAATCTTTGGTTTAATGGATCCAAAGAATTAGTAATCAATATTTTTTGTTTCTTTTTGTGAGCTGCCACAGTAGCTTTATAAGGTTGCTGCATATAATGGAGCCTTTCCTCAGCGAGTGTTCATATAAAATCTGAGCACCTATTCCCAACTCTTGATTCTCTCTTTATACTTTTCTAATGGTGTCAAGACCTCAAAAGGAGGAGGTCAATTTTGTGCATCAATATTTGGCAGAATTTTCTAGCAAGAGGTAATCAGCTGAGGTAAATGGAAGGGTATTGTAATTTTTTTTGATGTGAAGTTCTTTGTAACCATTAAACCAATCATTGCTTTAATGATTACAAAGAAATCCACTCTCAAGAGTAACTAGTTAACGAAGCTTGTCTGACTCTCACAATTGTGCAAACTCCAAGGTATAAATGCCTACTGAAATATCACCATGTTTAGCTATTATTCTCTAGCAAGAAGAGAACAAAAAGTTCTAAGGATTCATTATTATTATCATCATTATTATTTGATATCCTCTTTCACTCTTAGATGTTTCAACAAAGTGATGAAAGTCATACGTCAGCTTAGAGAGAGAACACTTTTCTCAGCACACAGTGTTCCACCTATGCAATCCCACTGTCAGCTATCCCTTAGACATCTTGCATCTCTGGAAATAGTACTGAGTGCACCAACTACAGAAGGGACAACTTGAGCTGCTGCATGTTATATTTCATTTTTCAGCCTTGCCAGCTTTTGGTACCACTGTATTTTCACCTGCTCCACCTTCTGATGTTCATATTCCAAGGTACTGCAACATTTATCAGGATCTATTCATGGCTGGTCTTGTGCTCAAG